GCACGAGTGGCATGTTGTCCTTCAGTGTCACTGTACGGCATTCACATGCAATGTACACTGACAAAGGTACATGTACATACATATGTGTATGTTTTTGTCACAGCTACAAAGGTGACATGGCCGACCGCATGCAATAAAAATGAAAAATAATAATATTTTTTTACAATTTTTTTTTATGAAAATTGTTGATTTTTTCTCACACTTTTATACATCACACACGCTTGTTGGCAGCGGGAGGACCACACAGGCTATGAAGTGAACGATTTCAGGTTTTTTTTGACACACTTACAACCCTGAGCTCGGGCGAAACGTAAAAATTTAGGCAGCACCTCCACACAAACATTGAGGGGCCATCGTTATGTACTCACCGCTTGGTTCCCGTAGGTCGTGCATGGTTAGTTGTACTCATGTCCACTAAACGGCCGACAATTTTGCTGAGACTTTTGTGGTATCTAGATAGTACCGATTTTTGTTGTTGTTGTTTTTAAGCTTTAACTACATCATAAACTGCACGCATGTGTGTGTGTGTAGATGTGTGTAAGGACCTGTGTTGGACGCGCTCTTTTCACATGCAATTTGTGTTGAAAGGCGAAAAGTGACATTATTTAAAGGTGACACATAGAGCGCACATAGACTCTTCTACATGCACAGATATGTTAGCACCTTGCACTGAGTGCTAGTGGCAGCTAAGAAAACGAACTGATGTCAACTGGTACATAGACAAAGGACAGTGTTCTTGATGGTGCATATGCGGGTATAGTGAACGATGTTTTTCATCAAGCAAGTTGCAAGTTAAAAATTACTAGTGAATCCGCATGGCGTTAAAATGCTCAAAATTTAATTTCAAAGCTGTAAGAAATATTCAAATCACCCTGTATATACTGATAAAAAATTCTAAAGTTCAAAAAATAAAACTTTATCGCACATGTATAGGCCAAGCGGTTTGATTTGAATTCAAATTTTTGAAATTCGAAAAAATGGTGACTTCTCGTACATATTTCTGCCATGAAAAACAGCTTCTCATAAAAATACAATCGCCGTTCGGAGTCGGCGTAAAACTGTAGGTCCCTCCGCTTTGTGTGACAACATCAAGGCGCACGCCACAAGTCGGAGGAGAAGCTCGGAGAAGCTCGGAATAAGGCAATTAGTATTTTCAAAAACATTATTAATAAAAAGTTTGTTGTTGTTATAATACTTTTTCGAATTTTTCTGTTGAGTTTGAATTCGGACTTATATGGTTTTGTTAGGTAATGGGCTGTGTTTTTATAAAAAAAAAAAATTATAAATATTAAAAAAAAAACAAAAGAAAAAGAGACACTGGCCTATAAAATAACCATCTGTCTCTACTGACATAAAGGACTGAGGGTAAGTAGCGGGAGTTTGCTCTCAATAATTCATTTTCACTTTTTCGCTAAAACTGGGAAAGAATACAAGCACCTTCCAACCGGAAGGTTGAGGTATCTGTGAAGCCTGTAAATCGTAACTGATATAATCGTGAGCAAAAATAAATCAACAATAAATTCTGATAGGCGGCTTTATTGGCAACATATCGGTTATCACATCTAATCTGTTAAAAAAAAAAAATGCAGAAGAACTTACGCTGAGTTTGCGGACATAGCGACGTCGAAAGCGATGAGAGAAATGTTTAATTTAGTAAGGCTGTTTAGATTAAACTAAATCGGTTGCACTGCGCTGCTCTTTTGGAGTTTGATATCAAGTGAACTCTGGCCAAGAAAAAAAGTGCAGATCTCCTGAGTATATCCAAGACAAAATTGTCAGAATAGTAGCAACAATCACAGAAGATGACTTTCTTTTAATCGAAGTTGCTCCAGCCGTCACCCAAAACATACCCAGGAAAGGTAAAGTTTTTCCAACAAATTAAGTCTTAAATAAAAGAAAGGCATACAGTAACAAAACTAGCGGATCTATGAGGAAGTACTCCAAGGAAAGTAGGCAAATTAATCAGGCAATCCAGATGATTCGCACAAGCAACTGAATAGTGTGTCATAATTAAGGAAAAAATAAGCTCGAAAAAAGCGTATAAAAAATGGCATTTCCACACTACATTATTTTACAGTAAGGGGAAAAAAGTAAATGCTTAAATTCGAACATGAAGATGCAGCTCATCTCGGCGACTATATGAAAATAAAAAAATAAAAATTATTGGAAGTTAAAATATTGATATCATATTTTGGTTAAACATTTCTCATGCAAATCTGCCGCGTGGTTGAACGATTAATTCTCTCACTCTTTCTCTACTACCAAAACTAATCACCACAAAAATCGATTAAAATAAAACTGATCGTAAATGTTCAAAAGAAAGGCAGTTGTGTTCTATCATTAAAACGCCACTCCAAACCAATTCTTATGACTCAGCAAAATTACAAAGAATTTGGCAAGGAAATTTCGAAGCACCACACCACAAATTTAGTAGCTAAACTCGTTCACCCACAAACTTGTGTTGCATATAATCTCTTTCCTAATCTAGAAGGCGATATTTTAGTTTCTTTATATTAAATTTTGTTAAATGAAAGTTTTGAGTCGCCCTTAGAAATATTGAGATATTTTTCTTGGAATTAGTGAACATATACAAAATCTGCGTTAAAATTTCACAATTCTCAAAATTTTTAGTTGAACATTTTTACAGGCCTATAACTTTTAATTAAACACTGTCAAATAAATACTATTGTATATGCTTGTGTGCATTATCTCTCTGTTATCAAAGCGACCAAAAGTGCATTGTACAGCATTTTGCACAACGCTTTCACACCCCTAACCTTGCTGCACTTCAGCCATGTAATAGCCTCTTGTCAGCTTGGGTTTAAAGCCTTTCTGGTTTGCTTGTCAACGTAAATGGTTAGGACGAATTGCTTTTGGCGGCATGTCCTTTAACATTTCGTTACGGCTGGAGATAGATAAGATTCCGACCATGGCTTCGAATAACTAGTGTGCTCAGCATTATGCACTAACAAGCATATAAATGGACGAACATTAATGTGAGTTTCATTATGTAGTTTGCATTTCCACGTTTGTTCTGTAGATATTCATTACAAAGGTGTTCGTGAAAGCTTCCAAGGATAGAGATAAAGCAGTCGGTAAAAAAATGCCATTAAAGACAGGCTAGAAAAGCACATAAGCCTATGTACATATGATATGCATACATATAGTATATATATCCATATATAGTTACTCTCATGTAGTCATGGGAAATCTGGAATATACATACTTTTCAACACGGTTAACAAAGTGGCCTGAATCAGTGCGAAAAATAGCTAGAAAATTCCAACGAGTAGCCAATACAAGAAGTGTGAAAATATTTGAAACCATGTAGAGCTTCCGATTTTTCCTTTGTACTCATTGAAGCTCTCGAAGAATTTCTTAATCTGCTGAGATTTGTCTGCCATTCCTTTGTTAGGAGTCAGACAGCTCGTTGACGTTGAGGTGGACATTAAAAAATTGCCCACATACATACGGAGGTTGTATTTGAATCAAAAGCAGCATACATACATACATATATCAATGCATGTGTGAAGTTAAAATACGCATGTGTGAAATAAAAAATTAAACTGAACACACATTGGCTGAATTTTGTTTAGGGACTCTTTTGTGGAGATCTTTCATTTTAATAGTAGGTAAATGTCTTAATTTCAGCAAAACTAAAACAAGTTGGTAAATTAAATAGAGGCTCAAAGCAGGAAGGGGCATTTTCGAATTAACTGTTATTGAAATTAAATATACATTTTTAAATAAATGTACGTCATTCGGGTACATTTGGTTGGCGAAAAAAATTTAATTTTATCATCCAAATTTCCTTCAATGACGCGAAAATTCATTCAAGTAAGTTCAAATGCGAATAAATTTTATGTATCATTCAACTTATTTCGAGTGTCGAATAAATTTTAATTCCTCATTCAGATAAAATTGAGTAACGAGTATTTTTTTTATTTATTATTCAGTCATCCTTTCTTGAATAGCAAACAAGATAAATGTGTCCAGGCAGATATTCGTGTACAGGTGCACGAACATTTACCTTGATCGACTACCTGTTGCTATAGTCAAAAAAGAACGACTGAGTAATAAATGGACAATTTTACTGTTTACATTCCCTGTTTTGCATTCCCTGCGGCCAGTACGCTTAAATTCCGGACGTGCCTTGTACGTAGCACTTAGGAACTGCAAAGTTTACTTATTCTTATTTTCCGCTTGAACAACAGCTCATAGTGCTGCTATTTTTCATCGCCGACAGGCCTAGGGATGCAAACGGTGCATCGATGTTAGCAAAACATCGTCGATATATCGACTAGAAAAGTGAAAACATCGACATCGAGCATTCATTCCGTACGCAGTCTGGCAACTGACAAATGCCAAGCGAGCGCTTTTTCTCCGAAGCTAGTGCAATCATCATTTAGGATAGAAATCGGTATTTGAGGACTTGATTATGAAAGCTTCTTTGTTGAACTCCATTTCAGAATTTTTATGTTCAATCAAATAAGATTTGTATAGGGTACATCGTAATTATAGCCACATACTTATGTTTGTATTGAAATATGCTCCTTAAAGGAAGTGTTAAAATTTTCCTTTTTCATTGGGTAAAATGTGTTTTCTTTTTAAAAATTCATTCCATAAAGGCTAATGGGATAGGTAAACTTTGATTTTAGGTACATCGCAGTTACATTATAGCTACACATTTACCTACAGTTGTAGCAGCTATGTGAATCTAGTCCTTTTGAGTTTAAAAAACCCCTTCTGGCCACACTTTATATCTTATAAAGGATGAGAAATTAAAACATCAGAAAAACATCGATGTATCGTTTTTATAACCGTTCTTTTTTAACATCCTTGTTTGTTGTAAGAACATCGATGTTGTTGAAAAAACTTCTTAGTTACTCACTTTTTTACGAAAACGTCCTAACCCATATTTACTATATGTATCTAACTTCGTATACAAAAATGCAGAACCATAATTTTCATTTTTAATAAAATATTACACTCAAACTTACCACCATATTATTTATTGTGAATTTTAGCTCAGCTCGTGGCCTCGATGGTGGGGTACTGCAATTGGCGCGCAACATATCTCCCGGCTCATAGCGTGTAAGTTCGGTGAAGAGTTGTGGCCGCTTTTCGGGTAACTCTGTAAATAAAAATAATAAATCATATATAAACATAAATAAGCTAAAGTAGTAGCATGAATCAAGGGAAATAAATAAAGCTGTATGAAACAATAGGGATATATATTTAATGCATGCTTGTTAAATTTCTTAACTATTTAAGGAACTTTAAATTCGGATTAATTGTTGCTAAAGTTAACCCAGCAGTCGAAATAATTTCAATTCTTGAACCTAAAGCCCTGTATGCAGCTCTCAAGAAAACGGTCAAGAAAAAATTGCCATTATTTCGCGTGTGTGTCCAAGGAATTTTGACATTTTTGATACTTCACAGCCTGTTGCCTCGCTCTTTCCTCCAAAAATAATGGAACGGGCATATATTTCTGTTGCAAACCTGGGTTGCCTTGTGCTCTTTTTTCACAAAAAAACTTTAGAAAACCGTAGTAGAAAGCGTAGTAAATTTCTTAAGAACTGCGTACTGCCTTAAGGAAATTTGACTCAAGAAAATTTCTTAGCCATTTCTTGTACGTCATTTTATATGGAGTTTTTGTTTTTCTTGAGAGCTGCATACAGGCCTTAAACAAGTAAGTAGCCCTTTTAAGGAAAGGCAAAATAAACGGAATACGAAATTCCAGCACTGAGTTACTTATGACAACGAGTTAGAACAGAAAATGGTGTATGTATTAATTAGTATTGGGCTGTATCGATACCAAAAGTACTCAAGTTTCAAAAGTATCGATACTGAGTGGAGTACTCAGTACACATACACAAACAAACTCGAAAGTACTCAGAACCTAAAAGTACTCAAAAGTACTAGGTACTCACAAAACAACTCGCAAGTACTCAATACTCAAAAATTGTCTGTTCCAAACATCACTTTGAGTGAAGAGAGGAAGAACAAAAATTTTTAAGAATGTCACTTAAGACTAATTTGTACTTAAAACGAATTTCACAAATGATAATAAAAAATTCAAGCCAAATCAATTTGATACACACTTCTTTTCCGAACTTTTATTTCTGCTTCTCTGCTTTTTTTTTGGTAAAATTCAATAATGATGTTATTAAATTGATAAACAAGGACTAAATATACAATTATGTATGGAAGCTTGGTAACTAAAATGGAATATTGCGGAGAGAAATAGAATATAAACCATAACTATAGCTAAAGGAACTTGTTTTGACACCAAAACACGAGAAAAAAATCGACAACACATTAATAAATGGAATGGAATAAATTTAAATCGTAGACAAAAAAGGTTTTGAATAAATATTATGAAATAATCGGAACGGTATTAAATGCAATGAAATTAAATGAATTGAAATAGATGAAAGGAAGTTAAGCAACACGATATGGAATGAATTCGAATTTATTTGAATGGAATAGAATAAAATGAATTAATATTGACTGGTATTGACTGGAATAAAATGGAATTAAATCAAATTTAAATATAGTGGAACGAAATTAAATGAAGTGAAGTCATATGAAATAAAATGAAATAGGATAGAATTAAATGAAAGAAAATACATTTCTATGAAATTCAATTCTAGTACGTGCACTGGAATTTTAACTTAAAACTAACAAAAAATAAATGACGGCTGTCAACTTTCAATCTAGAATCGCGTAATTAAATTTAAGACTTTGAGACAAGTATTTAGAAGAGTTAGGCGCATAAGGATGAACACAAAATAGTAAGAAATAAACATATCGAGGAAATAAGACAGCTTAATCGCAACCGCATTCCATTTGTGGAATGAAAATAATTCTGGATTACCTTTTTGATTAGGGGTAAATTCATAGCAGCCTTGGCAGATTTTGAAATGAAATTCCAGAGCCTCGCAGCATTTACAAAGAACAGCTTTGATGAGGGCAAGTAGGAATATTTAGGAATAACCTGACCTTGATGCCTTCTAGACATTGTTAGTACTAATTTCCCATAAAGACTTTTCGCAGTTTTGTTTTCTAAAACTTTGTACATGAATATACAATTTTTTTCCGCAATATAATCAAAGATGCTGCATCGCAAGAGTTTAGTTATTCACAAAGAGATGTGGTCATGAACATAATGAGTAATATTGTTGAACGCAACATGATTTTTGTGAGATCAAATTTGCTATAAACAAGCTCAAAATGAGTTCAACAGCCAACTTTTATTTTGTATCCAAAGGTGTATACGGATCCGGCATTCTAAGTCTACGTAAAAACGACATATATATTAATAACAACTTTATTAGTGTGGCCAGAACAACTCAACATAGAATTCACAACTTTGGAATATCTTCCACATGTACTACATTGTTACCGATGGGCAACACATATGACTTTAGCAGCATTCAGTCAAAGACAATTATCACAGGAACATTCACAGGAACCATCGGTTCGCAAGCGCCTTATTCATGAGATCATTCAAATTACGCTATGCTTAGCCCTCTAACTGGCACCGGTCAAATTAGATTCTTTGGTGCAGTTCAACAATTTATCAGCCATCAACTTGCTATAGTTTTTAATGGCTTTGCAGTCAACTTTTGAAAATTTTGAAGCTACTTTTATAACCTTTAGAGCAGCTTGGCTGTCAGTGCAGACTTTTAAACCGTCTTCTATGTGCTTTGAATATTACAAAGGCTTCCGATTGGAAAACTGCTGTAATTAGACATAAAGTAAAGCAGAAAAGCATCTTGCTTTCCTCTCAGATGCTCTCCATCTACAGTTCCATTTACAGCCTTGTAGCTATCCGTGTTTAGCTTTCTACCTAGCTCCTTCCGAGTTACTTCAACTCATATGTATGGGAAAAAAACACACACACACATGCCTCTATATGCTCATAAACGCATTTCCACTTGCTAACTCCTCAAATCGCTGCATCCTTATTCAATTTGGCATCCTTAGCATACATCATAAAAGCAGCGTCAACTTCAATTTACTTCCAATGTAGATACTAAATACCTCAAGTCTACCCTTCACTTCTACGCTCATATAAAGCCAGCAATTTCATCTGGCTTTATGAATTGACGCCAGCAAACAAAAACAAAAAGAAAAAAAAAGAAACTTTGCATAACTTTGGCGAACTTTCTTCAGCGCTTCTAACCAGCCAACCAACTCATAACTGGTTGAACTTCAGAACTCGGCATCTTCAACTTTGCTGTGATATTTTTATAAGGCATCTACGGCGAACTTTTTAATTAAGTCACCAAACAAAGTAACTAATGAAGAATATAATTTCCATGCCAAAGGGGCCAGCAGCAAAAGCAGCATCATGCGCATACTCTTAGATACATCAGCTATACGCTGAGCTCGCTCATAGCATAAACTTGATGTTGGTTGGCATATACTTTGACAATTCAACTACGAGTATAACTATGTTATACTTTGAGCACCGACACAATGTTTCCACAAAAAAAAACAAAAAAAATAACCAAACACACGAGAATAAGTTCGTGCGTGCGTCTGTGCATTTGTTAAAAAGTATATCCCTACGTAGTCAAGGTACAAGCTGGTTTCCATAGCTGGGCAGAGGTCAAAAATTATTTGCCACAACTTTGGCCATCCGCCGGTCAAGCAAATTAAAATCAAATTCATTGCTATGAGGAAAAGCCGGAGAAGCGAACGGAGTGTGAACAACGTCATGGACGTGATTGGTGTTCTGCGGCGTATCAAAGTAAAAGCATTTCTGACCTTTTCCTTGGGCGTTTCTTCATTAGCTTACTGTATACATACCTACATACATATGTATGTATGTATGAGCGTGGAGAGCTTTTTCTTTATTGTGCTGTTGGCATTTTCACTTTAGTAGCTGTGGTTTTTGTTGCCCTTTTTTAATGAGGGTCACTGACAACCTTTCAAGTTTAATTTCCTGAAGATTTTTCTGAAGCTTTGGATTGTGGTTGCTGTTACGCAACGAAAGAGAGCAATGGCTCACACTTTTGGTGTTGGCCTTTTTTGGTTTCATAATATAATTTCGTGATATTTGCCTTGTGTCATGTGGTTTTTATTAGTATTTTCTTTTCAAAACTTATAATGATATCAAGTGAGTAAAGCCATGCGCCTATGCTAAGCTATGACTGGCGAATTCGGAAATTGGAGCAGGACCTGACAATGAAGTACATACATATTTTTAAACTATGTGATTAAAATTTTGACTCAGAGTTTCCTTTATTTAAATACTTATTGTTGAATGACGCATCCTGTCAAAACTCTTAAAATTTCGTGAGACACATACATACGTATGTACCAAGTTTCGTTTAGATATCTCAGTTTTTACTCGAGTTATCGTGTGCACAGACGGACAGACGGACAGTCACCGCTTAATCGATTTCTTTTTGCTTCTAAGCATTTATGTATATGTACATTTGTCTATATCTATCTCGATTCGTTTTGGCTGTTACAAACAACCGTTATGTGAACAAGGTTACAACACCCTTATGCACAAGTGCGGTTGGGTTTAAAAATATTATTTTTCAAGGATTCTATACCATTTTTACGAACAATTGTTTTCCCCCAAATAAATTACATGGGAAATTTTGACCGATTTGAGCAATCTCTAAATTCCTAAATTAAATAATTCTACGGTATGAGAGCATACAAATTCTGACTTTACTTTCTTTGGACCACCCTAGTGCATATACGCATTGTACACAAACATTCGCTAAAGTCTCAAAGTAAAGCTTTCTAGCATTCATTACTCTAATTCCTTTGCCTAATTTGAGTGAATGAACCAAGGAAAAGTAAATAAAGTAAACGGTCAACTGTTTAGGACAACAGTCAACAAATAAAAATGTAATCAAACGACCCGAAGCCAAACAAAGGATTTAAATGACGCAGACATTGAAGCGAATGAGCGTACCCAATAAACATTTTTGTCAAATCTCAATTTGAGATGCATATATGTTCTTTTCTCAAAATTCAAACGTTAGTTCTCAATTGCATCTCAAATAACCGTTGATAGCGTTCTCAAAATAAAAGGCACTTTTTATTCTTTATTTTCAAATTGAGAAATGTTGAAATCTCAACTTTTTCTGAAACATGAGTGGA